CTTCCCTCACCTCAAAATTGAAAGAAAATCCGCACTTCGAGCTACCTGAGGAAGAAAAAGAAAAGATAAATCCGTACGACTTTGAAGTTTTGATTCAAGCTTCTCCACTACCTGAATCACAAACAACACAACTTAGAAAGAAATCGATGAAGAAAAGAGAAGGAGACCGAGGGAAGAGAGCTCATGGACCAAAGTCCTTCTCTATAGAATTCCTCTCTCTACAACTCAAGGTTTCACACACATTATATTAAATTAATCTCTAGCAATAAATAAAGTTAATACTAGATTTTGGTGTACACATTTCATTAACCCATTTTTACCTTTGTTTATCACACATGTAACACTATGACTTATTAATAATGGTTGATTTTATTAATTTAATTTTTATTCTACCTTTGTCCATCTTTTATTACCAGTTTCTTATTGAGTGCGTAAACTTTTAGGTGGTGGGTTTTTGAATTTTTATTTTCTTTAGTTTTAAAAGGCTTAAACATGTTTTTGTCCATTAAATTTAGGATAGATTTATTTTTTATCCCTCAAATTTAAAATTATTATTTTTAATCTATATAATTTTTAAAAATAATTTTAATCTATCAAATTAATAATATATCTAAAAATGACATATTGAACCAGTTATGTAGTATTAGTTAAATTTAATATAATATTTTCACTAATAAAAACATTAATAAGGAGATTTTATACAATTGTATTTAATAAGTTTCTTAACAAAATTTTAGTATAAAGATTAAAATAAAAATTTATTTTAAATTACAGGGACTAAAAAAACTTATTTTAAATTTAAGAGATTAAAAATAAATTTATCTTAAATTTAAATAAATAAAACATATTTAATCCATTTTTAAATTACTGCACAAAATCTTGTTGGTTAAAATTTGTTTTTTTTTATTATAAAATAGCATAGTTAATTAATTAAAAATATTGAGGAAAAATTTATTACTCTTACCCATCAAATATATATATATACCGTATTTAAATATTTAATTATTTCAATTTATTTTAAGAAAATATTTTTTTTACAGTTGTTTGAGTTTTTCTTTTCAAAAGTTAGTTATTTTTAAAGCAATGGTGATTTTTTTTATTGTGTGTCGTGTGACTTTTTCTTACATCAAATACTTCATTTTTTTATAACATGTTATTTACTTTGTTCTTTCATGTTACTAAAGTTAGTTACATTAAAGTTAGTTACTTTGTTCTTACATGTTATTAAATCATTAATATGTTTTTAGTAGAGTTAGGTTTCCATGTCTTGTAGTTTCATTATTTTTTATTTCCTTAATTTTTTTTATTCAAATTGATTGCAAACTTTGGTGAAACATTTAAAACTCTTGAGGTTGCAATAGTATTACATTTGAACCCTCATTTTGAAATTCAAAAGGTTTGAAATTCAAAGGCCTAATAAAAAACGAGTAGTGGTCAAAATTTCATCAATTTTTGGAGTCCTTTTGAATTTTCTCTACTTCTAAAATTTTGAAGTTTTTTGTTCTTATTTTTGGAGCATTTTGTGATATAGATTCAATACCCAGAAAAAAAAAGGAAAAAGCCACAAAATGGCTCCAAAATAAAGAAAAAAAAAAGTGTAAAAAAATAGAAAAGAAATTACAAGAAAAAAGAGAGTATTTTTTATATAAAAAAAATTATATGTAGAGAATTTTTCGAAAAACATTGCAAAAATATTTGTCACATTTCATTTCATATAAATTTTCATTTAATTTAGAAGTAGATTTGAGTCCTTCTTACTTTTGTAATCCAAATCTGGAATCAATATGAGGACTACTCCTTCGATGTTCTACCTACTAAATTGTGTTTTAATTTTAGTTTGTCTTTATTCTTGTGATTCTTTGAGTTTGTCACATTTATTATCTATTTGAGTTTAGCTATTTTAATTGTGGTCTAATAGTCTAACTTCTAAACTTTCCTCTAGTGTTGCTTTGGTGTGCAAATTTCTTGTGAAGGTAATCAAGGTTCTTATCACAAGGTAGCATCTTGGAATGTTGATTAAAGCTTAGGAGGTTTGGCTCCTTAGAAAAAGCTATCTTTTGGAAGAGCTTGAAAACAAAACACCTTGAGAGGAGTGATACACTAGAAACTCTTCTACACTAATGAGTTTGTTCATTGTGTAAGAGAAGTTTTGAAGACTTGTTTCTTTGTCTTTTCATTTTTGGATTTGACAATTTAATTATTATTTTGTAAATATCTTTGCTTGGAAGTGGTTTTGAGAGGTTATAAGCACCTACTAAAAGCTCCCAAATTGTCAGTAAACTTGTTTAGTAATTTTTGTTAGTGCTTGTGAAAATGTGTTGGAAGACTCACAAAAGTCCACCCAAATTTTTGCATAGGAACATGTCTAGTTTGCATCTTTACTTTCTTTATTGTTTTCTTTAATTCTCATGTTAAATGTTAGAGTGTTTAAGAGGTTCCAAAAATTTCTTACAACACCTTAAGTTGCATTTCGTTTTAGTCTAGGAAAAACCTTTTTCTAACAAACTTGAATTATGTTTAAGAACACTTCACACACTTCTCAAAGTGGTAGTGGTTACAACTTACTTCCAAACCTTGAAAAATCTTATGAGTAAATTAAAGGTACTTAAGTGTTAGAAAAAGAAAAAAAAATGGAAGAAACGAAAACACGCGTAGAGCTAGAGCTTAAAGTATTTAAAGAACCAAAAAAAGCTCTTAGGAAAGAAAAACAAGAAAAGACATGGCAGTAGCTCACATAGTAGTGGTTCTTCCAAGAGTCCTAGTTTGAGTCATCATGAGGACAACATTCACATAGATGACTACTACCATAGTGAGCCTAGAGATCATAGACCTAAGAGTAGAGTAAGAGAACCAAAGGTGGATCTCCCTCATTTTCATGGGAAAATGATGTCGAGGCTTGCCTTAAATACAAAATGAAAATGGGACAACTCTTTGTTTGCCACAAAGTGAGTGAAGAGAGAAAGGTTCCACTAGCAACTCTTAGCTTCTAAGACTATGCTATGTATTGTGTAACATCCCGTATTTTCTATTTATATATATGTTTATTAATTACTCATTATTTTATTTTGTTATTATTAATTGGATTGGTTTTAATAATTATTTTTATATGAATATGTATATATTACAAGGCTTATAATTAAATTTTATATTTTTATTATTATTTTATTGGAAGGGATTTGCAACCTAAGTTATTTGTATAATTACTATTTGGGTAAAAGGGGAGTTAAAGTTTTTAAAGAGAGAGATTATATTAGTTTTTCTCGTGCTTCTTTTTGTTCTTACACTTACACTTTGAAGAAGGAGAATCAAAGTTTGTAGGATATGTATGTTGGATAGTTTCGCTCTGGGCGTGAATAGTCTCGCTCTAGGTGTGTGATGTATGTTGGGTAGTGAGATTAATCTCCAATCTCTTCTCTCTTACTTGTATTGTATGAAGGAGGTTTTCCAAATTAATTATATTTTGTGCTTTTAATCTTCTTTATGATTCCTCATTGTTCTATTTGGTGTTGTTTATTTATTTATGCTTCCAATTTCATGATTGAGCCAATATCTATATATTATGGATTGCTTGTGAGAACCCTAAGGGAATGCGTTTAAGTATTATTATGTGACTAATTAATAGAAGTATGTAAGTATATGAAATTCTTACCTTTTAGATATATGATATGATTATGTTTTACTGATTGAGTACATAAATTGATTGATTGGGGAAAAAAAATACGAGAATCACAAGTTTTAGGGTTGTTCACAAAAATAGTGTTAACTGTCCTTTCCAACGTTGAGCATCGTGGTGGTTAAGAACAAAGATGGCTCTTTGTGCCACCTATGCTAAGCGTGCTTGCCATGTTGAGTGTGGCTTAGACAAAGAGCAAGAGTTGCTCTCTTGGAGTCTTGGTGTTGGTTAATTTTAAACAAGCACACATTGTGTTCATAGTATACGAGACATTGCTTTTAGTTGTACATATTTTTTTTATTAATGAATCTACTTTTCATCTTCACCTAAAAGGCTTCATGCTAATATAATATGTACATATTTATAGATATATGTTTCCCTTTTTCTTTAATTATGTAAGACTTTGTTTATATCAAGGTATATATGTAGATGCTTTTGATGAATCATATCTAAGTTTTCAGGTGACGACTCACCTTAAAATGTTAGAAAAAGGTTTCTCATGACATGATAGTGATCCTTTTGATAGAGACAAGTTCAATAGTAATGATGATAGTTAGAATTTCAATAGACTTAAGAATTTAGGGGTGGTCATAATTGAAATGAAATACAGACCTTTCTTACATTACACAACTAATTTTTCTTTTTTTAAAAAATAAATTATCAAAACGAGAAGATTAAAAAATAATAAGTCATACTTGAAAACACAAATTTTGGATAAAATTTATGTTTCTGTTTTCAATTTGCATATATTTATTATTTTAAATTATTTTGACAGCTATTTTTAATTTAATTTTAGAAATTGTAATTAATCTCGCATCTATTTAGTGAAACATCCTATAGTAATTAGTCATACTGATTAATAATACAAATAAAAATTATAATCCGAATAAAATACATACATAAAAGTTAAATTCTTATTCAAAAAAAAAAAAAAAAAAAAAAACCTGTGACGAAAAAAAAAAAGGAAAAAAAAAAAACCCCGAAGCCGGCGGGTTGGAA